TGGAGCTTTTGTACTTCATTTTTGCCAATATAAAGGGAAAGAGGCTGTGTGAATGTGATGTAGGTGTTTAACTGTAAATTTCTGACCTTGGAAGAGTATACTATATTATATATGCTTGTTCAATCATTTTCTTTTTATAAGTGTATTTGACACTTGTTGATCAAAAGTTGTGCATTGTCTTGGATTCAATATACAAATTTTTTACCTATAATCTTCTGTGATTTTCTTTCTACAGTTTGTGGGTTTGTTATAGTTATAGAGCGATTGCATGTACGCTTAGCTCTAAATCAGTTTAGAGCTGATTGCATGTACGCTTAGCTCGAAACCAACTGACACGCTTAGCTCGAAACCAACTGACTGTTTGGACTTTGGAAGCAAAAGCTTGTTCGATCATCTAAGGCTCGTTTGTGAACGGAGCGAATAAGTGACTGTAATATAAATTATTATTACTTTTTATTTATATGTAAAATATTTTTACATATTTTGAAAGCTTGTTTAGTGAAAATATTCGAACAGGAACGAACTTGAATTTTGTTGAAAAGTGAAAAGAATGAGAGTTGAGACACAAACTTTCACTCAAATAATGAACCAACGAGTATGAGTATTCAAATATACGGACATAATCAAACATGAGCTTAAATGCAAGCTCAACTCATTTAGTTTAATTACAGTAATCACGTTTTGGAAGTTGTGTTCTTTCAGATTTTTTGTTAAAATATCAGTTTTTTTAATGAGAATTAAAATTTTTGAGAGCAGGAACGGGTATTAGATGAAAAAATAAAGATGATAAAGAGATACAGAATTAAAACACCATTTTTGTAATTAAAGACATAGATACACAAACATATTTTTTAATGACAAATTATTGGTAACTTGGATTGACTTTTCTTTTCAAAGCCAAAAATTGGGACTGATTGATTACAAAATTAAGGAAATGAAGTTGGCTGAATAGTGCATCTGTCTTGAAATCACTAATGAAAATATGTCATCAATTTTTCAAAAGATTGCCCACTTTAGTATGGCTGGTAGTGCCTCGCGTGTCATTTTGTCCCACATCGTTTGGGGGAATTAAAACGAAAGCAGAGCTAGACTATAAAATGATAGGGCCACTGGTAGAGTGAAAATCACGCAGCCGCGCGGTAAGCACAGAGCGAACTATTCTTTCGCCTTTTACTAAAGAATACCGTGTGCTTGCCGCATTTAAGCGGCATACGCCCATTTTTGGAGGGGAATTCCTTTACGGGATTAACCCCAACAATTAAAGTTTAAGTTTTTTATCTTGTTTATTATGAATTTAATAAATTAAACACAAGAATTTTGTGAACCTATCATAAACCACAATGCTGAAAACCAATTCACTTAAACAATCATAAAGTAGATTCTTGTGGAAAATTTATTATTTATGTGCAGCTTAAAAAAATAAATCACAGTGCTGAAAAACTTATAAAATAAACCAGAATTTTGAAAACATAAATTCTTGCGGGAAATTAATTATTTATTCTATAGGCATTTAAAATTGGAAAATTAAGTATTTATTCTATAGACTTTTAAAAGTCTTGGTATTAGGGATTTTAAAAAGTTTTACCGAATTTTGAATCTTGAGGTATTTAACTATTTTAAATATAATTTGTTAAGATTTGCTGGGCTTGAGGTATTTATCTATTTTAAATAGAATTTGTTAAAGACTTTTTAAGATTTGTTGAGACTTACAAAGAAAAAATCTTATACGAAATTTTACTCAAAATCCCACATATAAACTTAAGATTTCATAAGAGTTCTCTAAAGTCTAAGAATCTTAAAAAGTCTTAAATCTCAAAATGTCACTCGATATCACAAACGAATACGCCTCCTTAAGTCTGAAGGTGAGATTTAGAGTGAGATTTCATATAAGGTTTTTTATTTTAAAATTCCAGCAAATCATAAAAATGTCTTAACAAATTCTAACCTCAAATAAGTTATATACCTCCGGATTTCGTAAGACTTTTTAATCTGAAATGAATACTCCAAGACTTTTAAAAGTCTTACAAAGTATAAATTAAATACGACAAGATTTTTAAAGTATTAGAAAGTATTTAAGAATCCCAAATGAATACATTCCCCTTATTGCAAATATGTTATCCATTTTGAAAAGAAAAACGTATCTACTTTAATAGAAAATTGTTGTAGGTCATTGTTTCTCAATGATGAGATATTATAAAACTTTAACACACTTGGATAGATATCTATATCCATTTCAAAATAAGTTGAGAGCCTGTACATGCTGAAAATTGAGATAATTGGCGGACTCTTATAGTCAAACTAATTACACAAACATAACAAATAGTTTGTAAATCAATTAATAAGCGTGGCGAGTTTTACCACAAATTGGTCATCACAGAAATAATGTTTGACCAATTATCTTTGATTTTGAAAACTAAAAGTTATGTTTAAACAATCCTACGTGGGATCAATTTTTTGCCATATATTTTATTTATTTTATCAATGATTTTAGGTGTGTTTGTGAGCATAAGTTCTTTTTCGATAGTCTTTTGATGCAATTGTAGATATATCTGTTTAAAATTTAAAAATATCATCTTCAAATATAAATACTTTAGTATTGTGGGTCGGTTGTGCATCGCAGAACCAAGAGATTCCTAGACTTCATTATAATCTAGAGGAGAGACCTGTGTTATATAGTAAATATGTTACTTATTTCATTTAATCTAATAGTAGATAACCTTTTATATTCAGTCAGTACGATAGTTTTAAACTTTCGTGTGTTTTAATTTCAAAATTTAATAAATCATGGTCCACTCATTTTTATTTAAATTTTAATTTTTTTCTTTCAATTTTTTAAAAAATTGCACTACTTTTTTTATTCAAAGTTGGTTTGATTCAACTAATTTAGATGTTTTTAGGTTTGCAATCTTCTATTCTATCATTATCATATGTCTATATCTATATTTTTAAATATCTATATTTTTAAATAAAAAAGATAATAAGAGCACGGAACGCTGTCGTATCGTACAACTGTTTAAAGCTACTCAAAAAAGTACACGTGTTGGTCCGTCTCAATCCCATTTTCCCATAATCCCATTTCCCCATCTCGCAATCTCAGTCGTCGTCTCCTCCCCCATTTCTCCACCCTCCGATCTTCCTCTCGCGCGCAAAATACAAACAAAAATTCGACCAGCACGCTCTCAGTCTCAGGTAAGCGCCTACAGAAACCCCTGTCTCCTCTGGATCTCCATTTTTGCGTGATGGTGAGCTAGGGTTTGGTCGGTTATGTTAGGTTTTTTCATTTGCTCCGATGGCGGATGCACAGTCGTCGCTGGGAGCTCCGGGGAGCCCCGCCGGCGGCAGCGCCGAGAGCGGAGGCGATCTGAGCCCGCGCTCCGGCGTCCGCGAGCAGGACAGGTTTCTGCCGATCGCGAATATCGGCCGGATTATGAAGAAGGGGCTCCCGGCAAACGGGAAGATTGCCAAGGACGCGAAGGAGACCGTACAGGAATGCGTTTCGGAGTTTATCAGCTTCGTCACTAGCGAGTATGTGGATTCCCGTCTGAGTTTTTCCTGTTCCGAGTGATTGATTGTTGTTTTATATTTATGTGTGTGTCTAATTCTGATGTTCATGCCTTATCCTGTTTTGTTTGTCTGTGATGGATTTCTATTGATATTTGAAATCAAGTGCCTGGGTTAGTTGATTTAAGGGATTTCTCTTTGTTGATGAACGATGAGTTATACATGTAAATAAATGTTACCCGAGCATTTGAAGTGATTAGTTGGCTTCCATGTGTGGGTACCTAGTGTGGAGACTATTGTATTTGTGTGTTGGTGACTTTATGTGGGAGATAAAAGCTTAATTTGTTTCCGTTGGCTGTGATTTAAGGGCAAGTGACAAGTGCCAGAGAGAGAAAAGAAAGACGATCAATGGGGACGATTTGCTATGGGCTATGGCAACTTTAGGTTTTGAAGATTACATTGACCCTCTCAAGGTGTATCTGGCTAAATACCGAGAGGTAATAGTTGTTTTATTGTCTATACTTGTCTTTCTTACGCTTGGAGTAAAATGTTTGATGATTAGCTATATCCAGTTGCAACTGATAAATTTCTGTTTCCTTTCGGGGTTGGGTTGGCTTGGACACTCGTGGATGCACTAGATGGAGGTGAGTTTGTCAACTGTATAGTGTTCCTCTGCATTTCCCTTTTATTTTTGAAAAGTTTGAACCTTTCTGGTTTTTCTACAGGGTGACAGCAAGTTGTCTTCAAAAGGGGCAGATGGATCTGCAAAAAGGGATGGATTGCACCAACCAAATCCTAGTTCACATGTACGTGATTCCATACGTCTTCCATACATCTTGTACATATATCATATATGTGCTCTTATCTGCTGACTTTTAATAATTAATATTCAATTCTTTGGCAATGTTGAGTTATTATATCCTGCACTGCATGCAGCTTGTCCAGCAAGGTTCATTTTCTCAAGGCATGAGTTATGCAAGCTCTCAGGTATATTCTACTTTGCTCTGGTTGTCATTTCATTGATTATGTGGTTCTTTTCCAGCTTCTTTGTTTACATGTTAGTGTGTGCATAATTATAGTTAAGTTTGTACATGTCATTTTCTGATTGTAATTTCAGCACCTTGTGTGCTAATTTGATAATTCTAAATTTCTAACATGCTTTAGCTGAGGCCAAGTAGTTCTTTGAACAACTAACCCGGGTCTATGGAAGTTTGCTTAGTTCATGTGCCTGTTTTAAATGGCTTATTCGTACATTTCAAATTTGTGTTTGTGCTTGTCGTTTTCTGATAATACATTCAGTACCTTGTGCTAAAATGATAAATCTAACATGCTTCGAGTCACCTGTTCTGTTTAGCTGGGGCCAAGCAATTCTCTGAACAACATTAAATGGACTTTGGCTTGAGTTAATGTGCCCGTTTTAGAATTTAGATTATATAATTTTTACTGGTTTCTGTTTCTTGTTGTTTCCAGCCACAAGCTCAACATATGATGGTTCCTATGCCGAGCATGGATTAGAATTGGCTCGTCTTTTGGCCAATGCCCACCTTCATCTTGTAAGATAGATAAAACAACATTGAAGCTGCATTTCATTTGTGCTGTAAACTCTTATGTCAGTGTTTGTTTTTTTTTCGTGTTTGTGTATGTTAGAGCCATATTCTAGTTGAGCGAACTCTGTTAAACTTGTGGACTCGACTGTTAATTTATATGTTGTTTTTTTGTATCATCAATTATTTTTCATATTATTAGGTATCTTCACTATCTTCTTATTTATTTTTTCTTCCTTTGCGTGAAAGGGTGTTTGGTGTTTTCCATGCGACACTGAATTGTCACCACAGGAAATATGTGTGCAACGATGGACTTGAGTTTTTACAGTCAGAATGGTTAAAATGGTTTTGGTCCCGCTCGAACCTGGTCTAAAAATTTTAAATTTATAGGGATCGTAATTCTATATAATTAGTTCATTCATGAAGAAAAAACCAACAATTGTAAAGCTCTTGTTAGATAGCATATTTTTTTTAACATGTATATATACTTCTGGGTAAGACTACAATTCCGTTACGGAACCATTCCGTTGGGATTTGTAACCGTTAGATCAACTATCATTGACGGTTACTTGATGATCTAACGGTTACAAATCCTAACGGAATGGTTCCGTAACGGGATTGTAGTATTTTCCTATACTTCTAATTGAAATCATAATTTGAAAATAATATAAAAAAATTACATTTCATAGCATAAGATATAATTTTGTGGTATAACTGTAAGTGTACGACGGATCATACTAAGGCGATGTCATGCAAGAATTTATGATTTAACCCATTTATCCAGCCCATAACATATGAACTCAGTCCACAAGGACCACAACACATCATGATATTCCACGTGTCCCGCCAGAGCCACTCCAAAATATTAGGGTCATGGTGAGTCACAGAGTATAATTACCCCAACTTAAAGTTAATCTTTAGATTTTATTTTTCGTTTATTATATATAGATTAAATTATTAGTACATTTTGTAGAGTTCTTTTATCCTTCCTTTTAATACTGTTCGTTACCAGCCATCGTAATCTTCTCTGCAATCTCGGTCCGTATATATACACGATACTCAGACCTGTATATATAGATATGTATATATAATATTTAACTATACATCGCGAGAAACTAGCTACTGAAAGGTGGAATTTTCAGAGAACCCTGGGATTTCAACGACGCTTGGCGAATTGATAATCGATCAAGTATAAACAACTCTAGGTAATAAAAAGGAGAACAGAGGTCGGTTTTCTGGATTCCGAATTTTGGGTTATCGTCGTTTTTCATTTGTACCCTTTGGATTTTCTGTATTGATTCAGTGATTTTTATTTTTTGGTTCATATTTACCTTTGATGTTCTGCGCTTTTGCTTCTTCTCACTTTTTCGTGTGAAAAAAAGTGATTTTTTTTTTTCTTTTTGTTTATATTTCCAAATTTTGGTTTTGATCGACCTTTTCATAAAGTGATCAGTCTTTATAGGTGGTTGGGTACTTGGTTGTGAGTAAGTCTTTACTGCTTTTTCGTGTATATAGTGTGTTCTTTATTTCTGCTTATTGACTCCGTATTTGGGAATTGTCCTTCATGTATCTTACAATTTGATGGCCCTTACGTGACAAGTTTATTCATTTCATTTTCTCTTTGAACTCTGTTTGTTTGAGCATTTGGTGAATCTCTAACTAAATAATGATTCTATTTTGTGTTTGGTCTTTCTATGTTTTCTGATTTTTAGTTTTTAGTTTTCCTTTTTTTTTTCCCCCTGCTATTAGTAGCACTAGAGAATGGCTAATAGAGGTCAAAAAAGAGCAGAAGTTTTGGAAGAACTTCCAGCAGACAAGCGTGCATGCAGCTCGCTTGATTTTCGGCCGAGTTCCTCTGTTTTACCGGCTGAAACTCCACCTATGGCCCATGAGCCCCAGGATGCCGATATGGACACATCATCTTCCACTTCTGGATCAGCTAAATCCGAGGGTGATGGAGAGAAGGAATCTCCTTATGGCTCTTGTGATTCTGATAACAGCCTCCATGACTACTATACGCATCAATCAGGGAATGATCAAAGCAAGTTTAAGAAAGTGCTTTCGAGTTTAAGCGAGGAGGTGGAGGAATCGGGCCAGATGACTCTCCTCATGGAGCTCTGTGAATTATTGTCCTTCTGTAGTGATGGTACTTTGTCGAGCCATATGGCAGACTCGTTCTCACCCATACTTGTAAAATTAGCTAGGCATGAGAGCAATCCAGATATAATGCTTCTAGCGATTAGAGCTATAACTTATTTGTGTGACCAAAATCCCCGATCCTCAAGTTTTCTTGTGAGACATGATGCAGTTCCTGCCCTTTGTCAGAGATTAATAGCAATTGAGTACTTGGATGTTGCGGAGCAAGTAAGATGTTGAAACTTCGCCTGTACTTGCGGTAAACGATTTTTTGTTATGTAGTTTATTTATTTTTTCCAACACAAAATGTAGTGTTTGCAAGCATTAGAGAAAATATCCCGCGAACAACCACTGGCTTGCTTGCAGTCTGGTGCTATAATGGCTGTCTTAAGTTATATAGATTTCTTCTCGACGAGCGTGCAGGTACTATTTAGTGCGAACAGAACCTTTTTTATAATAAATATTACATGTTTCTGCTGAGTGTTTATGGTATCTAGAAAGAGGTTTTCTGTCCTGTTCTTTTAAGTGTGTTTTTGTTTATTGGTCCTTTCTTAATCCTATAGAGAGTTGCCCTATCTACTGTTGTCAATACATGTAAGAAACTGTCTTCCGACTATTCTTCACTTTTCATGGACGCGGTTCCAATTTTGTGTAATCTTCTCCAGTACGAGGATAGACAGGTATAATCCTACAAAACTTCATTCATGAATTATTTCTGGCTTGGTGTTTTTCCATTTTAATTAGTTGACCTTTTTCCCTCTCTCTTTCTCTTTCTCTCCATTTAAGCTTGTTGAGAGCGTGGCCACTTGCTTCATTAGAATAGGTGAGCAAGTGTATAGATCTCCGAACATGCTGGATGAAATTTGTAAACACGGGTTGGTTCAGCACACCTTACATCTTATAGGCTTGAATAGCCGAACGACCCTTTGTCAAAACACATATATTGTAAGCCGAAGTTTCGTTAATTCTTCCCATCTCAGTAGAAAAAACTGTTCCTTACCCATTCTAACTTTTGTAACTTTCTTATTTGGCCGCAGGGTCTGATAGGTTTGCTTGTGAAGTTGGCCTCCAGCTCAGCTGTTGCTTTCAGGACACTTTATGAACTTGACGTAAGCAAAACTTGTAAGGAAGCGCTTTCCGCTTACGCTCTATCACATGGAATGCACTCTACTTCCATGGTGGATGGACGTCATAGTCAGGTTGGCCGTAATGGTTTCTCCATCCAATCTGTCACGGACAATTTGACTTCTCCAACAAGAACTCCAAAGTTAACTAATGTCTTTTTATTATCTTGGTTATAGCAAAAAGGCTCTCTTTATGTGTGCCTTCCTTTAGGTTGTGGAATATTTGATGAAAGGGGTCCATTGCATTGAGTAATGGGAAATGTTGACTTTGGAACTCTGGCATCACAAGTTTGTAGCAATAATAATGGCAGTCCCCAATAATATATAGGATTTGATGATTTTTTAATGAGAAACTTAACCAGTGCATGAAGTGTATAATATTTTTATGGTCTGATCTTTCTTCACGCTTAATATATGAATGACGTACATGGTAAAATGCCTGGAGTTTGCATTTTCTGGAACTTGGGTATGGAGATTTAGAAGTCCTCTAAGGATATGTGAGAATTTTGTCGTCCTGGATGGAATTCTGACACAGAATATTGACCCAAGAGTGCTACCCAACATACTTTGGATTAACTATAGAAGTCTCTATGCTTAATGTGGGGTTAGGAGGCGTTCGAGGAAATAAGAATAATTATAAGAAGACATTTATGGTCTACACTTGGCTGTCCTGAATAGATTTCATACCGCCTAGTGGAAGCAGAGTGGGTGGCTTAGTGGAAGGACTGCCTCTAGAAATAGGTGTTCCACACTGTGTTGTTTGGGTATGGCCTTATATATTACATTTTGCCATATAAATCAAACACCCACACACACACAAAAAGAAACAAGTGCCCATTCAATTAATTTAGTAGGTTAGCAACCCACCTGACTCAGTCCCATCAGAGATGATATGTTGAAGTAAATTCAAGATTTTGTAGATAATTATAGTGGTGGACCCAAACCTACATTCCTCCTAATGATGTATGCATATACATTGTTTAGTTATAGATTCTAATTATTCATTGCATGCGTATCTAAGTATAGATATATGCATAATTATTCTGTATAATTAGCCCCACCACCATTGTTCTCTGTCTTGCAAAGGTGTTGTTCTTTTCTGTTTATTTAGAATATGTTGGTTGCTGTTGAATTTAGCTTAAATATAACTTCTGAAATATGGAAAGTCTCTAGATGCACGTAGTAAGTACAGAATTAGATCATTAATATTGAAAATCAAAATTTCCTACTTACCTCGCAGATAATTGAGGTTCTGAAGTTGTTGAATAAGCTGCTCCCAACAATTACCACAGAACACGATGATCAACAAAATTCGGACAAGGAAGCTTTTCTTTTGGGCCACCCTGATGTCCTGCAGAGGTTTGGTATCGATCTACTTCCTATCTTGATTCAGGTTGGTCTGTCGCATGTCTGTCCTTAGGTGTTTGTCCGGACCTGGCCGCCTCAGTCATTTATAAAGCCTTTTTCACTGTTAAGCAGGTAGTGAACTCTGGCATGAATCTGTTTGTGTGTTACGGCTGTCTATCTGTTATCAATAAGTTAGTCCATTGCAGCTCATCTGAGGCACTGCATAGTTTGTTAGACACTGTTAACTTTCCAAGGTACATTTGCTTCTTCTCTATTCTCTGATTCATCGGATTTTTCATTTCATTTCTTTTTCCTGTTTTTCCTTATTTCACTTTCTATTCTAATATATGGATCGAACATTGAACGGCAGCTTTCTGGCTGGAGCTTTCATGAGGAAGGATCAGCATGTGATATTACTGGCCCTTCAAATTGTTGATTCTGTAATGTTCAAGCTTCCGCATATTTACTTGAACTCCTTCATTAAAGAAGGCGTTCTTTTTGCAATCAGTGTGCTCCTTTCCCCAGATAAGGATTTGAAGCTCTCTCCAGTCTTTGATGGTATCAGGTTAGAAACTGATGTAAAGCAAAAATCAGCTTCCAGGGATGTCCGTATATGCCCGTGCTTCACATTTGCTGACGGCCAGCGATCAAACTCTTCAGAAACTGGAATGTGCAAGCTTCAGATAATTACCGCTCAGGATCTTGCAAAACGTATATGGACAACTTACTTCGAAACGGAGTCTGTGAATCCTGAGAAAGGAGTAACTGATATTCTTCAAAAGCTGAAAAATTTATCGAATGCGCTGACAGCCCTAGTGGATAAGTCTCTGGAAGACCAATCTAGTCAGCAGGAGGAAGAGATCTATGATATTTTGCGCCAAATCATGTCGGAACTTAATGAAAAGGATTCCATCTCCACGTTTGAATTTGTGGAGAGTGGGATTATAAAAGCATTAGTTAGTTATCTGTCACACGGCAGACATCTCCATGGAAAAGAAGACTCCGATAAAGCAAGTCTCTTGTGCATTATGCAGAACCGATTTGAGGTGTTTGGAAGACTATTATTGTCCTGTGCTGACTCACCTCGAGAAGAATCTTCACTTCCGACGTTAATACAGAGATTACAAAGTGCTCTGTCATCTGTTGAAAATTTCCCTGTCATCACGGGCCATGCATATAAGCGGAGAAATTCTTATGCTACTGTTCCGAATGGGCGCCATGTTTCACACGCATGTCTGAAAGTACAGTTTATGAGGGAGAATGGAGAGGCATGTCTGCACGATTATGCTCAAGATGTTGTAAATGTTGATCCTTTTGTACCTCTGGATGAAGTTGAAGGATATTTGAGGTGTAGACTGAGAAATGATAAGACCAAGAATTTGACATCTGGATCTAAGGATTCAAAAGAGAAAGTATGTTCTTCTTTAACCCCAGATTCAACAACTTCTGATGGCCATATTTTGGCCACCAAAGAGGTACAGGTTTTTATGCACAAACTGCAGTTGGATACGCACTACAGCTGGCTGTTTTTACCCCCAGCTTCTTCCAGGAACATGAAACTTAAGTGTATTCCTATATCCATTTGTTAACTTTACTTCATATCTGAAACTACTTTTTTCTGCATTTTCAGGAGGGTAAACTGAATGAAATGTCATCTTCACCAGAAGGGTCACCCACTTTTGCCAATAAAGCTCTGGACTCAGCAGATGAAGATGAAATTCATGCAGTATGTTTCTTCCTTGTTATTGCTAGATTGTAATGCGTTCAAATGTTTCAATTTTATTTTTGCTGATTGTTCAAATGTCTTCTTTTGTTGGAGTATGGTTCTTTAGCCATTGTTTTGCAGTATTTCATTATAGCATATATTTTCTGTCTATTAATATTGAAGGACCTTGTTGAGCAAGAGGATTGTGGCGTTGGCGTACGTCAAGAGGATGGTAGGAATATTAGTGATGCAGTCAGTGATAATGAAGACGAGTCAGCAAAGTTGCTACTTTTCTTAGAAGGGCAGCAATTGAAATCAGAGTTAACATTATACCAGTCAATTCTTAAACAGCAAAGTGGAACAGAACATGAAATTGTCCCAAGTGCAAGCTTGTGGACTCGTACATACAAAATAACTTGTAAAAGACACACGTCTACCTCAACACCCAATGCCACGCGTGTTCTTGATGAGGATCTGTGTTCTCTTCTATCAAAAAGGGCCTCGTTCTTCCAGTTTCCTCCATTTTACTCTCCCATGTTTTCAGAAGATGACTTTGAGAAATCAGGCCCAGCTTATGATATATTATGCCTTCTTAAAATCTTGGAGGGAGTTAACATGTTGAGATATCATCTGATGCCACGTGAGAAAACATATATGTCTGCGGAAGGGAAAGCAGATGATCTGGATAGATTAAAAGTAGTGGTGAATGAAGTTCCCGCGAATGAATTTGTCAATACGAAGTTAACAGAGAAACTGGAACAGCAGATGCGGGAACCTGTTGCTGTTTCTGCTGGGGCCATGCCTGCATGGTGTACCCAGATAATGGCTTGGTGCCCTTTCTTATTCAGTTTTGAAGCAAGGTTCAAGTACTTTCAGTTGACGGCACTAGGTCGATTGCCAGCTCAAGCTAATCCAACAACAGATGATAATGCTCTCGGTTCGAGTGGCAGGCAGCAGAATCACTCAAACTCGCCTCGCAAGAAGATTTTGGTTCATCGGGATAAAATACTGGAATCTGCTGTTCAGATGATGGGACTACACGCTCGTCAGAAGGCTCCTTTTGAGGTGGAATATAGTGAAGAGGTGGGTACTGGCCTTGGCCCGACATTGGAGTTCTATACTTTAGTCTGCCGTGAGTTTCAAAGAAGTGGTTTAGGGATGTGGAGAGATGACACTGCATCACATCAGTGCACAGGAGATTCTAAATCCGGGATTTCTGAACTTTTAGCATCTCCTTTTGGTTTATTCCCCCGCCCTTGGTCGCCTTTGCCCAGCACGGCAAGCAGCATAGAATTTTCTGAAGCGATTAAAAAGTTCACTCTTCTGGGATATATGGTTGCTAAAGCTCTTCAAGATGGTCGGGTTTTAGATCTTCCATTCTCGACAGCTTTTTATAAACTCATTTTGGGGAAGGTATGGTGGATTTTTTTTATATTGCCTGTGGAGTCCGCAAATATTATTGATTGACAGCTGATTTCCCATATGACCTTCTCTTTTATCTTTTTTCCTTTTCAATCGCCCCTTTTGCAGGACCTTACTCTGTATGACATCCAGTCATTTGATCCTGCACTTGGTAAGAGTCTTCTGGAGTTTCAGGCTGTTATTGAAAAGAGAGAGAGTTTGATGCCTATTTGTGGGGATAAATCACATGATGTTGATGTGCTATTGAAAGACATGACAATTGAGGATCTCTGCCTTGATTTTACGCTTCCAGGGTATCCAGATTATGCTTTGGTTCCTGATTCAAAAATGGTGAGTATTGCAGTCTTCCTACCAGTTTAGTTTGGTTTGGATATTACAGCAATAGGATATCTAATTCATTTTTATCTATATTGGGTTTCGATGTAGGTAAATCTTGATAATTTGGATGAGTATGTGACTCTCATGGTTGACGCAACAACAAAATCTGGAATTATTAGACAAGTAGAAGCATTCAAGTCTGGATTTGATCAGGTTTGTTGGTGCTTATAATAAATTATCGTTACACTCAGTTGAGGTGTGCATTCTGTTTCTATTTCAAATCTCGTATGAAGCTATAGATTGGCAATTCACTTTGAGTTACTTTATTGGCTTAATGATTTTCAGGTCTTCCCTATTACACATCTCAAGGTTTTCACAGAAGAAGAGTTGGAGCATTTGCTCTGTGGGGAACATGTGCTGTGGAATGTATGCTGATTGCCCTGTTAACTTATCTAACTTATTTACTCGAAATTCCTGCTTACTAATTTGATTTGCAACTGAAAACTTTTTCTGTCCTTTTTTTTTTTGGCCTTGCCTGAATATAGTCGGACGAACTTTTGGACCACATCAAATTTGACCATGGGTATACAATCAGCAGTCCACCAATTGCACACGTCAGTATAAATGTATTTTAGTTTCGGTTACATATATTCTTTTATAACCTGGATATTAATTGTGATGTTCAGTTATTGGAGATCATGCAAGAGTTTAACTTGGAGCAGCAAAGGGCATTCTTGCAGTTTGTGACTGGGGCACCCCGGCTCCCAACTGGGGGTTTGGCTTCGCTTAACCCTAAACTAACAATTGTTCGCAAGGTTGAGATAAAATCATCCTTGTATATGATTGTTTGTTCTTTATTCTTTTTTTTTTTTAATTATTATTTCCTTAATGTTAACAGTATGATTTATTTGTTGTTTTCTGGTTTTCTAACAGCATTGTAGCTTGGGGATGGATGCCGACTTGCCTAGTGTGATGACTTGTGCAAATTATTTAAAGCTTCCACCTTACTCTTCAAAAGTGCACTTCATTCTTTTCTACTAACTTTTTCTGTATTTCATTCTTTTTTGGTTTTTGTAGTTGGGAGTAGAATCAGGGCTTTAGTTGATGTAGCTATATTTTGTGGAGATCTAATCAATCCTTTTATTTTCTTTTTCCTTTTTTTTTTTTTTTTTTT